TATATTCATAAAATATAAATATATATTTATATATAACTATTTATATATATATATATATATATATTGTTTTTCATAATATAAATTTAATCTTATTTAACTTAAAAGTAGTTTAAGTATTTTTCATTTAAATATTCCTTGTTGAACTACTACTGATAATAGACACAAAGGGGAAAACACTAAAAATATTCAGATACATATATTAGAATTTGGAAGAACACACACCTAAAATAAAAAATATATTAAAAATTTACGTAATCCTTATAGTTTTTTACATATATCAATCTTTATATATAAATTAAAATATTTTTTAATTTTTTAAACGCTTCACTATTTTTAATTTTTTATATTCATTTTTTAAAAATAGTCTCTTCTTATAAAGTGTAACATTGTATGTTGTTGTTAATTATTGTAATTTTATTAATAATTATGTGTTACGGTGTTTAGATGTGTGTTATTGAAAGACTCTAAAAATTAAAGAATTCTTGTGGAATTTTAAGTGTTTAGAAGGTTTCTTTGTATAGAAGTCCAATTTGACTATGAGTTGAATATATATAATGTTTCTTTTCATGAAAATTGAGACTCATGAACTTATTTTCATAGAGAATCTTGAAGAGGGAGTAAAGTGAGATGTTTTAGAATCAAAAGGTGACTTTCTTTCTTCTGATTTTCACAACGAATCTTTAAATCCTTTTGAGAGATCTTAAATTGCCATGTTAGTAATTCAAAGTCGTAGAACTGAGAATCGGTGCTTCAGGGGGGTCATGTAGAGTTCTCGGAGAAGCTCATTCCTTCTTCCTTTTTCCCTCTCTTATGCTTGGAGTTGAGGAAAGAGAAGCTAGAATCTTGTTGATGTTTGATTATATAAATTGTATGTTGTTTGATTGTCATCAAAATATGATTGTATTGGTTAAATTTGGAATGAATGACAAAAGGGTTGAGTTTTGGTGTTTTGAGCTATGGAGGTGAATATTTGGTGAATGGTCTTAATTGTTGTCGCATGTTGTTATTATGATTTAAAATGAGATGTTGATGATGTACTTGAATGATATATTGCAAAACATGTAGGTATCTTTTGGATTTTAGGTGGTTTGAACCAAATTCGCGAGTCTGCAAGTGTATAACTCATCATTGCATCGGACGCACCTTCATTGCATCAATCGTGGCTCAAATGAAGGGGTCTCTATCTTACTCACATCGGATGCTGAAATGGTGGTGTCGAGCGTGATGAGAAAAAAGCTTTTGACTTGGTCACGTCAAGCATAATTTGAATAGTGTCGAGCGTGTGATGAGAGAATTGACTCTACTTGAACTGATGCCGAGTGCTAATTGAGTGATGCCAAACATGAGGAGAAAAACTTGTCTCTACTTGATTTGGGGTTGAGCATGTGTTTTACCATGTCAGGCGTGGAGCCCCAAAGGTTCCCTACCTTATCCACCCTAGGTGTGGCTTGAGTGACATCAGGCGTAGATGAGGTAGAGAGTTCCCTAACTCAATAGTGTCAGATGCAAGGTGTGTGGCATCGGGTACAATTTACTTTAGAATTTCTTGTTGTTTGATTGATGATATGGTGAACATGAATAAGTGAGGTGAATCTATTGCACACACACACACACACACACACACACACACATATATATATATATATATATATTGATCTAGGATAATATATCTATAAATGATATTATTATTGAATTGTTAAGGTGTGATGTTGAGAATATTTTAGGCATTTGGTATGTTGCATAACTTAGGACTAGAGGAGAAGGTATTTTTGAAAGTTTGATATCCTATAGTGTGGATATTGGTGTAGTGCTCTATGAGCCTAGTTGTTGAAAAACTCTTATTAAGTAGGCATGATCTCTTGGAGTAGATTGTTGAATCTTCTCTAAGTCCTTAGTTAATGTTAGAGTAATGTATGAAGTTGATGGTTAAAATCTTTAGTTGATTATTATAGAGGTGCGTAGTATTGTAAGGCTAGTGGGCTAATTTCATAGGGGACTTGATTTATGTATGCCAAGATCGGGGTACACTCATAGCCAAGCTATATGATACCCGACAATGGTATTAGACTTTTTAAGTTTAAGTAATAACATCCAAGAAATCGTGTATAGGGATTGGTATCCCAATCGTTTGTTTATCTAACATGTGCAAAAAAGTTAGTTGATTTGGTAGAATCAAGCTACTTAGACTTTTCGCCTTAGTGTAGGAAATTTCTATAGAAGAATGCGTGAAGAAATATCAATTGAGGTGTATTGTTTTGGTGATTGTTCTTATGTTATATGATGTTATATGTTGTATGACATGATTGTGGTGTAAGTTTAATATGCTTAAATTGGTTGTTTTTTCAACTTGTTTGATGTCATGTTGAGTTATTGTGGTGTAGAAAGTGTAATCCATTAGGTGATGTTGTGTATGACTTACATGTTGGTGATTGTTATTAATATTTTTACCTTTACATATTTTTTAGTGGATAAACTGTGATGATTATGTTTACATTAAAATAAAATAAAATTTCTTTAAATATATTATTTATATATTTTTAAATTAGCAATAGTTAAAAATAACATTATGTCACTATAAATTATTTATCATAAGTGTAAAATATATTGAAAATATTTATTTATTATAAATTTTAATTATAATTTAATATATAATAAAAATATTTATTTATTATAATTTTAATTATATAAAATAAATAATTATCTTTATATATTACACATGTTAAAATGTTAATTTTAAATAAATATTTTATAAAACATATATTATTTTTTATGATATCAAACTAATTTTATTCAAATTAATTTAATTTCACTTAAAAAATACCGCAAATGTTTCTTTTGAAAACACATTATTTTTTAAAAAAATATTTTTACTTAGAAAGACGAAACACTTATTGCGTAAGTTTAATTTCATTGAATATTTTATTTATTGCTATTATTATATTATTATTACATGAATTTAATGAAAATTAAATCCTTAATTACGTAATAGTAACTTGCAGTTTAGAACGTACAATTTTCATTGACTATTTTAGTTTCTTGTTCTTAATAATTAATATTTTTAATCACATAATAGTAACTCGCAATGAATTATGAATAAATATTTTTTTTAATGATTAATATATTTTGCTTAGTATCCTTTTAATTTAAGCAATATAATAATATAATATAATAATAAGAATAAAATAATCCCCGTATGTATTCGTTTTTGTTTTCCATTTTATATTTCCCACACTCCCTCTCTCTCTCTCTCTCTCTCTCTCTCACTTCACTTTCTCTGTGTCCGTTGGAACCAAACAGTTCCCTTCTCTCTCTCTGTCTTTCCCTTCGCTCCTTTCTCTGTCACACAGAGACGGTGACAAACACCCACTCCGTTCTCTGCTCCACACTCCATTCTCCATTCTCTAGACAAACGAAACAAACACACTCACACCTTTTCCTCTTCCTGTGGAACATGACCACACTCTCAACCATCAAACACCATTATTCACGGTTATGAATCCCGCTAACCAGCCCCCACCGCCGTCGCTACCGCCACCACCGCCGCAGCTCCTCCAACCGCACCGCCCCTCCACCTCCTGCGACCGCCACCCTCAGGAGAACTTCACCGGCTTCTGCCCCTCATGCCTCTGCGAGCGCCTGGCGGTGCTCGATCCCAACTCCTCCTCCTCCTCCTCCTCCTCGGCCGCCGCCCGCAAGCCGCCAACTTCCTCCACCGCGGCCGCCGCCCTTAAGGCCATCTTCCGCCCTCCCCCCTCCTTCCTCCCGGAGCTCCGCCGCACCAAGTCCTTCTCCGCCTCCAAAAACGAGGCCCTCTCCGGCTTCTTCGAGCCCCAGCGAAAATCCTGCGACGTCAGAGGCCGCAGCACCCTCTTCTCCCTCTTCAACCAGGAAGGCGAAGTCCAAACGCGCAACCTCCCCTCCTCCTCCTCCGTCGTTCACCAAGACCCACAACCCAACATTGTCGTCCACCACCCAAACGACATTAGGGCTCACGACTCCCCCGAACCGCAACCACAACAAGCAACCATTCCCAACACCGAAAACAGAGTGTCCGAAATAGTAGAAGAGGAACCAGAGATAATACCTGAACCCGAAGCTGACGTGGCAGCAGAAGAAACACCCAAGGCAATGAAGGACCACATGGATCTGGACTCCCACGCCAAGAAGACCACCGGCCGCGACTTCAAAGGAAGCTTCTGGTCCGCGGCCTCGGTTTTCAGCAAGAAGCTTCAGAAGTGGAGGCAGAAGCAGAAGATGAAGAAGCGCGAGCGAAACGGCGTCGTCGTCGGCTCGGGGACCTTGCTCCCGGTCGAGAAGCCGATCGCGCGCCAATTCCGGGAGACGCAGTCGGAGATCGCCGACTACGGCTTCGGCCGCCGCTCCTGCGACACCGATCCGCGCTTCTCCCTCGACGCCGCGCGAATGTCCTTCGATTTCGAGGAGCCACGCGCCTCCTGGGACGGTTACCTCATGGCGAGGTCAACGTCCACTTTCGCGGTTCCTCCGAGGATGCCTACCATGGTGGAAGACGCACCCGTTCATGTCCTCAGAACCGATTCCCTCATCCCCGTGGAGGAGCCAGAGCTTGAGGAGACTCTCACTCTCAATCTCAATCTCAATCTCAATCCCAATCCCAATCCCAATCCCAATCCCAATCCGAATCCGAATCTCCCTGGTGGCTCTGCTCAGACGAAGGAGTATTATTCTGACTCCACCACGCGGAGAAGGAAGAGTCTTGATAGGTCTAGTTCCATCAGAAGGACTGCTGCTGCTGTTGTTGCTGAGATGGACGAGTTGAAGCCTGTTTCCAATGCCAATGCTAGGGTTACACCGGCTGCTTCTGCTGATTATGTGCACAATCCTCTGAGGGATTCTAACTCCAATTCCATGAGGGATGATGGTGTTGAGCCTTTTGACAAGTGTAAAGGGGCCAAGAAGTCCTCCAGCCGGTGGAGCAAGGCCTGGAGTATATGGGGGTTGATTCACCGGAGAGGGAGTAAGGAAGAGGACGGGAATGGGAACAATGGGAGCAGCAACTCTAATGGGGTGGAGAGGTCTTATTCGGAGTCGTGGCAGGAGTACAGAGGAGGGAATGGGGATGTTAATGTTGTTAAGGGTGGGTTTAATCCCAAGATGTTGAGGAGTAACAGCAGTGTGAGCTGGAGGAATGGTGGGGGTGGAGGGTTTGGGAGTGTCAGTATGAGGAAGAGTGATGTGCAGGGGAATGGGCTTGGGCTTGGGCTTGGAGGGAGGAAGGGGAGGGATGAGTTTGTTGGGTTGGAGAGGAACCGGAGTGCGCGGTACTCGCCGCCGAATAACATCGATAACAATGGTCTCTTGAGGCTCTACCTGGGTGGCCGGAGAAACGGGTCTGGGAAAGGGAGGTCCAACCAGGCACATTCCATTGCCAGAAGTGTACTTCGGTTGTATTGAAAGAATTCAAGGTGGTGTTCTTTGGTTTGATGCTGTTGGTTGGTTAGTTAGTTAGTTACATTTGGTGCATTTGTTTGTGTAAAACCACACATGCTTCTGCCTATGTATTCATTCTTCATGGTTGTTGGTTGGTTACTTGGATGGATAAAAGCACCTGCACCTGCACCTGCAGCTGGATCTTTTCTTTTTTACAGTTCTTTCTTCAGTTACTCTTAATAAACACGAATTTTAATTTTTAAACATATACATGATGATGGCTATGTTGATGCCTGATGGCACTGGTTTGTTCATGGTGGTGTGTTTTTCCTTTATTGCCAGAAAAAGGGTTGATTGGTATATGGCACCAGGGCGTTTTGTGCTTTGGTTTTACCTTTGGACACGCCGTGTTTTCTTTTTCTGTCTTTATGCTGCAAAAGGGTGGCTGATTGGTGTGAGGGTTGTAATTTGGGAGCATTTTAACTTGAATTTTTGGCATGATATGCGATCCTGCAAAAGTGGTAGCAAGGTGGGCTCGTGCCACCTGGTTTTGCTGCTTGTCATAAGTTGTAGTTTTGAGTAACAACACGATGGAGTGCTTTTTCTTTCCCTTGATATCAATTAATCGAACTTTTTTCATGTGACTCACTACAGACTATGGTCCCAACCAAACGTTACATTAGCTTTCTTGTATTCCATGACTGCAAGATAAATTTCAAAATTTCCGTAGTCGAAAATTGTAGACACCTTCCACTTCTACATACCCTTTTTCGGCAGTGTTGTCACTTGGTATTTTTGAGATAGAAAACCGTTCTCGAAAGTTCTAATGTTTTCAATGATATTCACGGTGACTATACGTAAGTGTGGTTCAGTCAAGACACTTGCATTTTGGATTTAGTGATTTACCAAAACCTGCGTAAAAGAGAACAAGATTAACGGCAAGATTAAATAGAAATAAGCATGCAGTGGGGTTGGCCTAGGCTTTGGTTTTGTAAAAGAACAATTTTGCACATTCTATGTGTTGAAGCTATTATTGCACCGGCAACATCATTTGAAGCTTGATGTGGCTTTCCTTGATGGAGCGATTATTTAGTATGGAGAAAGGTGCTCATCTCCTATGTTCCCTTTCCCAAAAATGTTATTATGAATCTGTCGTTGTAGTTTATTTTTGGTAACTTTACTCGGGATTTTGCTTATACTCAATGAAAAATGTCTTTGCCGGCTTCCGTGTGCTTGAACAGTTGAGAATTTATTGGGTATTTAAATTACTTCTGTTCATTTTCGGCTCTAAGATAGACGCGCCTATCAAAGTACGCATCTGGTTGTCCCAAATAACTACGGAAAAAAGGGAAATGATGCTCTGTTTTTTATGGGTAGGTTTTCAGTAAACAATGGCATAAAATGAGAGTTGTGGTCGATCCATGCTTCATTATTAAGCTGCCTCAAATTTTTTACTTCTTACAACATGGTTACATGAACATATATATATATATATATATATATATATATATATATTATTTCTTTAACGACAATAAAAATTGAATGTAAAACTTTCAACATATACTATTCCAAAACTCATTAATAAACATATATTTTATGAAAAGGAAAAGGTTGCATTGCATGGCTCGTATAACTTGTGAATTTACAGGTTATTTACTATAACGACAAAATTGGTGGACGACCCGCATTAAGTCAACTTTTCAATGTATTTGGAGCGTGCGTGAGGCATAGATCAAAGATATACTTAACCTTGGACTTTGGGTAAGTAGACTCTAAACTCTCATAAGTCAAACGAAGTGAATCTTATAACTTTTTTTTTTCTTCTTGGAAAATAAAAGATATTGTTTTAACGTGTTTGCATAATGTACGTTTTTCTTGTTTAATTAGTCAACAAAGAAGCGGTATAATAAAAATATATACAAATAGTACTATTGTTTCGTATATTTCGAAGTGTTTAATTTAATGGAGGATAGTTAAATCCGGATCTAATGGATAATTATAAAAATACTAAAAAAAATTATTATTAAATTAGTTTAAATATATACTTCAGCAATTATTTGCCAAATTTAGGAATATTGGTGATGATATGAGAATTATAATACACACTCATCCTCATATTTACACCTATACGTGTATATGTAGTTTTTTTATTATTGGGGAATCAAACTTATATCAAAGAAGATTTACTATAACTTACGCATTTTATTAAATCAAGATAATTAAATCTCTTTTTTTATATATGTACATTTTTTTAAAAAGGGTAGATGTGTGACAACATTATTATGTGAGGGAGGATCCTAACTAGGTTAACATCTTGCCACACAACAATCATATACTACACATCATAAGAACTATTATTAAAAGAATAAAAAAAAAAAAAAAAAAAAAAAAAAAAAAAAAGAGAGGGGGGGGGGGGGGGAGGGAACCAAAATGCACAACAAAGAAAACTAAACTAAAAAAGAAAGGTAAAAAATAGTCAAATATATATGTACATGTATATATAAACTTGGTATATTTTATAACTATTTTTTTAAGGTCTTATAACTATAATTTAGAAAAAGGTATTTGTAAATTGAGTTAGATCCTGTCTCTAATGAAAAATAACTATAATTATCTATGATTAATATATTCACATCATTTAGATACATGTGCCAATATATATATATAAAATACAATAATCTATCAACTGTGAAATAAAAATTTTAGTTGCAGGTCAAACAACATCTAACAATTACAATTCCTACTAAAAATAGCATCAAGATACACACCAACAACATGACTATGTGGATATCAACATACAATGTATCCCTACTCTACTCTATCTAAAACATGATTATCACAGTCCAATCATTAAGAAAATACATAAGAGTAAGCTAGATTTCAAAGGAATCAACATATGAGTATAGAAGAAATACAATTATACTAACCACAACATCAACATGTAAACCATATAACATGATCTACAACTTAGCACCACACCCAATCACCAAAACACGACATTCAACATCTTACAAGAGTAAGTAGTTCAACAACATATGACGATCATATTTTACCACACCAATATCATTCAATCATGAAATCAACAAGTATATGAACAACATCAAGTCACACCACATCATATGCATACATCTTAACTAATATATCGTCACACATTCATCTACTAAGATCTCTTATAACACTGAGTAGTCTAAGTGGTTTGATCCTATCAAACCAATTTAATCATTTTCACATCTCATGCATCCGCTAGATTGACAACTAAATTGAGATACGAATCCCTATCCTCTAATTTCTCAAGTGTCACTACTTAAACTAGGAAAGTTTGGTTCCACCATTAGGACTAGCATAGCATCGTCAGGAGTAGCCTAGCTAGGTATGTTTATACCACAACCTTGACATGCATTATCAAGGCACTTGTGGGATTAATTCGCTAAGTATCCTCGAGGTACCATGCAATCTTTCTAGTAATCAATTAAGAGTTGTAGCTTTTGGCTTTATTACTCCAACATTGACTTAGGATACGAGACTCACCAATCCACTCCAAGAGTTTCACACCTACTCAATGACGGTTTTCAACAAATGGCCTCCCAAAGCACCATATCAATATCCATACTATCGAATATTTTGACTTTCAAAAATCACATTCTCTCATCTAGTCTTAAGTTAATCAACATGCTTTAATGCCTAAAACATTCTCAGTATCAACACCTCAACATACATCATTTATATGTATTATCCTAGGTCAATGAATATAGAGATCAATTAATATCATTCAAGTATAATATACCAATACTTAACAACAATTTTCAACTATACAAATATCTACATATATTATCTCAGATCAATATACATAGAACAACAACATTAAATTATCAACAATTAAATCATTAGTATATATTATCCATGATCAATGTATGAAGAACTAACAACATATATCAACATACACATGTAATAGATACAACTACCACATACATGTTCAATTCATAATTTTTCACCAATTCAATCATGTAATGATGAATCGATGCAACAAACAATAAGTATTTATAAACAACATTCAATTCGCAACCTTCCCTTACTCAATGGCCACTTCAACTATAATATGGATCAACCCAACCTCCATATTGTTTCACATAAATCCTAGAAGAGACACCTTAAAACACCTTTCCATTCAGGAGCCTACTCACTATAAGATATGAAGACTTTAGAAGACAAATTTTCTCTCCTCTAATTTTTTTATGTATCTTAATGGATACATGTATCACAACACCATATATCTAAACAACTTAGCAACTTCAAACAAAATCAACTTACAATCAACTTTAAAATAACCTAGATCACCATTATACATCATCATAAATCAATATATGTTGCACGAGCTTGAATCATCATCACCCATCATGTAAAATAACCAACACAATAAGATATATGAAGAATATTACAAATTAAAAGGGGAAATAGATGCTTCAAACTAGAACTCATTTAGAGTGACTAGAATTCGCTCAAAGTGCCTAACAACTCGCTTAGAAATATCACTAGCTAGCTCTAAGCTACCATAACTAGCTTGGAGCTACCAACAATTGGCTTAGAGCTACCAATAGCTAGCTTAGAGTTATCATCAACTAGCAATAGTTGGCTCGAAGTGCCCAACAACTCACTTAGAACTACAAACAACTAGCTTAGAGCTACCATCAACTAGCTTGGAGCTACCATTAGTTAGCTCAAAGCTACCATCAATTAGCTTGGAGCTACCATTAATTGGCTTAGAGATACCAACAACTAGTTTGGAAATACTAACAACTAGCTTGAAGCTACCAATAGCTAGCTCAAAGCTACCATCAGCTAGTTTAGAGTTATCAATATCTCGCTCGAAGCAACCAATAAGTTGCTTGGAGTGACCAACAACTTGTTAGGAGCGACAAAAGTTCACTCTAAGAAATTCAAGTCAAAGAGCAACTTTGAATGTTCTCACTTACTTGCTTTGAGTGACCCACTTTGGACGCTTTGAGAGAACAAGCCCAAAAAATATGCATGATTTCAAGAAAATCTAGCGACTTAAGAACAAATTCAAACCCTCTCAACCTATACAACAATACATGCATGTGAACTCAAAATCTTCTACTTATTACACCATGCAACCCATGAATAGAAGAAAATGAGACATGCAACAACAACACACAAATCAAATCATAAAATCTTTCCTTCTTCACCAAGAACACTGAGATTTCCATAGAATAATATACCTACTGCCAATCATGCATACCCTCCTCATGCAT